GTGTCACGCCCTTGCTCGTGGAGCTGTCATCTTTGGGCTTTGCCACCGACGGCGACGCATCAGACCACGGGAAGCCGGAAGGGTTTGATTGCCTTAGTTGAGAAAGAACCGAACCGGAATCCGGCTTGGTGACGGATCCATGGCTGGGCTTGGACTGAAAGTGGTTTGGAGATGTGTGAGGGACATGAGTGACTTTTGGTGTCGGCTCCGGCTGCACTGGTGGTGCCCTTGTTGTTGATGGCTGTGTTTCTTGTGAAGCTGTCGATGATGTGCTCTCATCGGCAGGGTCTGCTCGTGTGTTTTCCGGCGCTGCTGGAGCTCGGCGTGTTAAGCTGGAAGCTTTGCTAAAGCTCTCAAGCTGCCGACCTCTCAGGGCAACATGCTTGGATGCGACTGAGCGCGATGCACTCAGCACCGCTGCCAGATCGACAGCAAAATCGGCGAATCTCATCTGAGCGGCAACTCTCAATTGGCTCACGCGCAAGTCATTGCACGATTTTCGACTAAAGAATGACTGCACGACTCTCTGGAAGCTCCGGGACTAAGTCGTTATCGTCATAAGTCGAGAAAAGTTGAGTGATGGCTACGTGCAAAAAGCGTGGCTTGGAACCATAAATGCGCCTATCCGATGTATCGGACTAATGGGGCGCCACAGGCTGCATGTCCAGTCGTGTAAGTGACCTTGATCCGAACGAGGATTATCAGGCTCGAGTCTTATTGAATGCTGTTTTTGTCTTGAGTTTCGATTGGGGCCTATTGAGCTAATGTTCTACTAAGCCTGACCATGTTTGGTGATTTGCAAAGAATGATCATTGCTAAGCCGCTTCATACTGTGCAGCGCTCTCTTCTGATGTGGTATCTATCCTTGCTCTATCCCTATCCCATTCGGTCGTCCTTCGTTATTCATTAATTAAGTTTTATTCTACTGGATTCACTGAGAAACCTTGGAGCCACCTTTCAATAGCGAGCCTCGTGCCCTCAGCGGCGTCGCTTTCGGAGTCGAGCCGCTGGGGCTTCCCCGTCTGGGACTTCCAATCTTACTCCATAGTCTTTGAGCGGCAGGTGTTAGTCCTCCGGAGACCCTCGGGCTAGATGGAAACTTTGGCACTGGGGTCCTCTCTAGCTTTCCGGTCAATCCATTCTTTGCCGACTCTCTCTTGGATTGCGCTGCCCTCTCAACCAGCCGATGATGCAGACTTTCTCTCTTGCCTTGCTCCTGTAATTTAAAAGGGTTGGGAGTCGCATCACCAGGGCCTAAGTTAATGACTGGTGCTGGAAGAACCTCTTCTTCATCATCGGCGTCATCAACAAAGGCGTAACCATTCACCCTTGGCGTTTCTCCACCTCCCACCGCGCTCGAAGCTTGATCGTCCTTTCGCGGCCTGCCCGCGATGGCGTCTCTCACCGCAGACATTGTTGGAGATGGTGGCCTTTCGATAATCGCGGGCTGGGGGATCCTTGTGTTCTGGTAGTTGATCGATTTCGGAGCCATCATCGAAGTCGCCTCGGCCCTTTGGGCAGGGCTCTCGTATTTGTCCTCAACACCGTCCGGCCCAAACATGAGGTTGTTCTTCGGGTCAGCGTTCCAGCTATCCGGCCTAGCTGGCCTATCATCGGCATCCTTGATTGCCAGCCTGTCTCTTTTGATGAACCCGTCGTCGATCAAGCGGCCGTTCTGAGCCAGCTTCTCCTCCACTTCGGCTTGCTTGATCATCTGTTTCGATGGCAGCTTGTTCCCACGCCAGAGCCATGCATACTTCTCCGCTTTCTTCTGGCTTTGCTTGTCCATGAGCTTGTAGAAGCTCTCGTTATCCTCACTGGTGTACTTAGCCTGGAAGTTGGCGAGGCTCAAGTTGGTATCCACAACGGGCTTCTGCTCTTCAACGACTGTTGGCGCGACAGATGCTGGTGTATCCGCGCCGTACGCTGATGGTGTGCGCCCTCCATTCTCGAACGTGGGCGGTCTCTTCACCCTCTGCCTTCCTGGGGTCATCACGCGCTGTAGCCTTTGTCCAGCGCTCGAGATCCATGCCGCGTCCTTCGATTCGAGGGCGTCGAGATATTCCTGCTGAGTTTCCGATTCCAAAAGCCCAGGAAAGAAGTCGCGCGCGATAATTTTCGAGAGGGCATCGGTATATGTATCTTCGTCTATGACCTTCTTGGGCCTCTTGATCTTCTTCGCGGGCGGCGGTGGTGGCATGAGGTCGGTATCAGTGCGCTTTCGCACCAGCGCGTTGGACTGTTGGCTTGAGGGCCCCATCGTGACGTCCGATTGTTGCTAGGCGAGCGCGCCGACTTCGGGTGTCTCGACAGACCGTGGGTGATGTAAAAGTGCCATGCAGAGAGGCTGTCGTGTTGCAAGTCAGCGAGGTTCGTAACGGAAAATACTGGGTGGGCATTCAGTCCTGAAATGACGTGGAGCCGATAAAAGATAAGCCTGATTAGGGACCCTGAAAGGTTTCGAAGGTACGTATGCAGCTACCGGGGCTCTGCCCGCTAAAGCCATCCATATCCATGCCCGTGCTTTTCAGTGGCAACTGCCAACTGGGAAGCTGAGGGTAATGGAGGGGCTAGGCCCGGAGCTGGCCCTCCTGAACCCCTGTCGAGATCCTGAAGTGGCAACTAAAAGCCGCCCCGCAGTTGCGCTCAGCGTATCGCTTGGTGCAGTAACACAGCGTTGTAGCGCACTGTTTCTGTTACCTTAGCTCCGAAGAGGGTTTAAGGGCCGAACCGTCGCGAAAGGAAGCTTTTTGACTTGGTCCCCCGGAACTTCAACCTTCTAAGAGCTTCCGCAGGCCGAAAACTTCGCCGATTACGACCCTTCCCTCTCTCTCCCATTCTCGTTGTGCGCGTCGAACTCGGTGTCGCACTCGAAACCGCACTCTACTCCCAACAGTCCGCGGGCGACAGATTCAGAGAGCGTCTCGAGACCTCTTCGCCACGATAAACTACCCCACACTTGCTTTACCCTTTGCACCAAGTCCGCGCTGCTGTTCCCGCCATGTCGACTCCGGAGGAGCAGGCCGTGGCCTTCAAGAACCAGGGCAACAAGGCGTTTTCTGCCCACGATTGGCCCACTGCCATTGAGTTTTACACCAAAGCCATCGAGTTGAACGACAAGGAGCCCACATTCTTCACGAACCGCGCCCAGGTTTGCCCCGCCCCCTCCCTTTGCGACAGGCCCTGCATCTCGAAGTTGCTCGTGTGACTGACCATTTCTCGTCCCGGTGCAGGCAAACCTCAAGTCCGAAGCTTATGGATATGCCATTGCGGATTGTACGAAAGCGATCGAGCTGAACCCCAAGTTTGTTAAAGTTCGTGCCTCTTGCCAGCAGGCACCCGGTATAAACAGCCCGATGCTGACGTCCCGTCGCCTTAGGCATACTTCCGTCGAGGTCTCGCACACACAGCCATTCTCAGGCCCAAGGACGCCCTCGTAGACTTCAAGGAATGCATAAAGCTCGACCCGAATAACAAGGATGCCAAGCTCAAGTTGGATGAGTGCAAGAAGATTGTGCGCAAGTTGGATTTCTATGCTGCCATTGAAGTGGGCGACGAGCCGTCGGCTGCGGAGGGTCTTGACGTTGATTCTATCAACGTCGAGGCAGACTATGATGGTGTCAGATTGGGAAGCGAGATGACGCAAGAGTTCATTGACGACATGACGGAGAGGTTCAAAACTGGCAAGAAGATCCACAGGAAATACGTTTACCAGATCATTCTGGCCGTCAAGAAGCTCGTCTATGACGAGCCCACTATGGTGGAGATGGAGGTTCCTGAGGGTGTTCAGCTTACCGTCTGCGGTGACACCCACGGTAAGTTATCTTACCACATTGCTGATGAGCTTCGGGCTAACCCATGTGTAGGCCAGTATTTCGATTTGATGGAACTGTTCCGCTTGAACGGAACACCGAACGACAAGCACTACTACCTGTTTAACGGTGACTTCGTCGACCGTGGATCTTGGTCAACCGAGATTGCTCTCCTGCTTTACGCTTACAAGTGGCTGAGACCCAAGGGTTTCTTCCTGAACCGTGGCAACCACGAGACAGACGACATGAACCGAGTGTACGGCTTTGAGGGAGAGTGCAAGGCTAAGTACAACGAGAGGTATGTGCTTTTCGTCACTTCTTATGAGTCGCACTCATTGACAATCGCAGAATCTTCAAGTTGTTCTCTGAGAGTTTCTCAGCCCTGCCCCTTGCCACCCTTATCGGAACCAAGTACCTTGTCCTGCACGGTGGTTTGTTCTCGGACGACAAGGTAACTTTGGACGATATCCGCAAGCTTGACAGGCACGCCCAGCGCCAGCCCGGCCAGTCCGGTCTCATGATGGAGATGTTGTGGACGGATCCTCAGGACGAGCCTGGCCGTGGTCCGAGCAAGCGTGGGGTTGGCATGCAATTCGGACCCGATGTTACGAAGCAGTTCTGCGAGAACAACGGTCTCGAGGCCGTCATTCGCAGTCACGAAGTCCGTATGGACGGGTACGAGGTGCAGCACGATGGACGTTGCATTACTGGCAAGTTCTTTGGGTATCTAATGAAACGCCTCGGAGGCTAATCGTCACAGTCTTCTCCGCCCCCAAATACTGCGATTCCACCGAGAACCGGGGAGCCTACATCAACATTGGCCCCGACTACAAGTTGCAGTTCAACCAGTTTGATGCCGTACCTCACCCGGATATCAAGCCCATGGTAAGCTTTGCGCAACACCCTTGCTTAGTTCGCCGCTGACTGTCTTCCAGGCATACGCCCAGAGCTCTCTCATGTCGTCTCTGATGTAATTGAAGTAAAACGGACGGTGTCCCGGGGATACAACGTGGTATATCTGCATCCGCTGCATAAACGGTGCATGTGGTCGGCGCATATAGGGGGCAGGCTGGAAGCGTGGGATTTGGCCATGCGGATAAACGGAGTTTTTGTCTGCAATCGATAACCATACCCGAAGTCTAGAATAATCTGAAGCTTGGGCGTGTGGCTTAATCCCCTCCATCATCTTCAAGATGTCCAGAGCTTGTCCTGGCCGTTTGCACCAACCATAGCTCCTAGATAGTCGGAACACTGCTTCAATCGGAGCGTCCGCCGGTAGCCCTGTTCAGAGACACCCGCCCAGGCGGTAATGGCCGCTGCGAAAGGGCTCAGGTCTTGTCGGGGTACTCGCAGCCAGCACTCTCTGTCTTCGACTTTGAGGATATCGATGGGGATGGCGGAACCGGTGGCGCCCAGGAACTGACGCAGGGCGGAGTTGCAATAAGATCTCACTTGCAAGTTGTCCAGGGGAGTGACATCGGAAACCCGTGATGCGTCAGAGACGAGCTCCAACTGAGCATAAGAGAATGGTGGGGTCTTGATGGTGCAGGTGAGAAGCTCGTGAGACTTTTGGCTGGTCGCACGCGGTGTGCTCGTTGGGATTTCTGAGGTTTGTGTCGCCATGTTGAAAGGCCAAATGAGATATGCTTTAGATTCAAGAAGTGTTGATGTAAGCTTCCAAGCGCCAGTGTCGATGGGATAGAGGTGTAGGTGACTTGATCTGCTTGTAAGTCGACTTGGAGAATTTCACCCCAGGATGAGTGATGTACTTTGATTCGCGGCGTGGGTAGGCCTGCAGGGTCCCTGAGGTGGGTCCGCCGTTGAAAGACATGACGCCCCCTTAAATGAATATGCAACTAGGTAGGTGGTTGGGTCCCCAAGTGAAGCCGCCTACCGCCTCCAACTTCCTGTCGAGAAAGCCAGCTTCGAACGCGACGACACCTTCACGACGACCACGATCTGCTCTCCTCCTACCCGCGAGTCTCTCCGTTCTCAACCCGCCGATTCGCCAAGATGTCGAGTGATAACTACGTCAATCCCAACCAGCAGCGCTACCTGCGCGCCTGCATGGTCTGCTCCATCGTCCTGACCTACTCCGTACGTGAGCCATCTCGAAAAAAGAGAAAACGACGATGGCGACTTCCGTCGCAATGAGTAAAGAGCATCCCAGCTAACGTCACATTCCCTCTCCCAGAAATTCCGCGACGAGGGCTGCCCCAACTGCGAAGAGTTCCTCCACCTCGCCGGCTCGCAGGACCAGATCGAGAGCTGCACGTCCCAGGTCTTCGAAGGCCTCATCTCCCTCAAGGACCCCGGACGCTCTTGGGTCGCCAAGTGGCAGCGCCTCGACAACTACGTCCGCGGCGTCTACGCCATCAAGGTCTCTGGCCAGCTCCCCGACGAGATTCGGACGACGCTTGAGGAGGAGTACAGGATACGCTACATCCCGTACGTGCACGAGGCTGCTGCGCTCTACTCACGGAGGGCACTTGGTGTAACGATATACTGACTGATTCTCGCAGACGCGATGGAACGGAGACCGAGGTTGATAACTGAAGGACGTAGTAATCGGATCGGCAAAAGAAAGAAAAGGAATCATTATACGTGGTATTCGGCGTTTAGGGGAAATCAAGAAGGTCGGCATGGAGTCAAGGCAAGACTCATTAGGTGAATCAATTCGCAATGGTATCTGAAATCGCACTGTAACATATCCTGCCCGTTATATGATATGATGCCGCAGTCCTCAACCCAAAACGCCGGTCCGCCCCTTTGAAAAACATGGTGGATTCGTGACGTCTCACCGTTGGTCCGTCTTCTGCTTCTTAAACGAGAACCCCCCAAACCCGGAACCCTCCCTCGGCCTCTTCTTTTCCATCCTTTCCATGTCCTCTTTCATGATTCTCTCGGCCTCGCTCATCTTCTTAGGCTGCTCGAAAGCCGACTTCTTCGCGCCACCAGCCAGCGCATTCTTCTTGGCTCGCGCAAAGACGTTCTTCTTCTCCGGCTTGGCCATCATCTTGAGTGAAATGCCGCCTAATGAAGGCTTATCCGCAGGTTTCTCCGCCGGCTTCTCTGCCGCCACCGGGGGCGTCGCGGAACCAGACGCGTCAGGAGATTCGGTTTTGGACGGCTCGGCCTTGGGTTTCGCCCCAAACGACAGCGATATCTTCTCCCCCTCAGCGCGCTGAAGCCCCTTTTCCTTGTCCTCGTCCTTCTCGTCCTTCTCCCCCCTCGCTTCAGCCTGTTTCTGCGCACGCTTTATTTGCTCTCGAATCATCATCTGCTCGACCTCTTCGTTTCCTCGATCCTGCGCCTCTTTTCTTCGGAGTGCTTCTTGTCTCTTGAGCGCCTCGGGGGAGTTGTCGATCCAGGCAATGTGAAGGCCCTTCTCCGTCTCCTCGACGCGACAGATGCCCTCCCTGCCCAGGTGTTTCGCAAACTCGGTCAAGCTGGGCCATTTCGTCGCGTTCATGTGGACGTGCTCCTTGTTGGCGATGTACTCTTGGTAGAAGTGGTTGATATGAACCTGCTTCTCGCCGTGACCGGTGCGGAGCAGCTGAATGAAGTCGCGGAGGAACTGGTTGCTGTACTCGTTGAGGAACTTCTTGGGGTCTTCGCCGACGAGGAGGAGCTTCCGGACGTGCGATTCGGACAGGCAATGCTGCTTAAACGAATTCTCATCACGTGTTTGCTTTTCGCAGGGGGTGCAGTACCATCGCAAGCGTTGGAGGCCCTTCATCTTCATCTTGTTGTTCAGGTACTTGACGGACCCGACCTCTGCTTTCGGCATCTTGGCGACTTTTTCGGGGGGTCCGTGTGGAGTGTTTATTTGAATATGTCACAGGTTATAGAGAATTTTTAGTCGAAAACCCGAAAATTCGGCGGTTGATATCCTTGTTGAGGATTCAGGGGTTGACGTTTTGCTTGATGGTGTAGTTGAGGTTGGGAAGTGATCGCAAAGAAAGACGTGACGATTCAAGACGGTTGGTGTTGACGGTGGATCCTTCTAGCTGCTTATCTTATCAAAAACGCAGGGGTCTGGTGGCGGGGCTGTACGGTGTGCGACGAGTCTGCCCAACACTGTACCCCACTACGCCGACCTCGGCCTCGACTGGTAAATATTTACCTTCACCTGAGTGCGGTTACTGGGGTGTTGGCCGGCGATGTCAGATCTCGAATCATGGATAACATAATACTGGATAATCATCTCCTGACATCTCCATATGGAAATGCTCATGATTGGTTACTTCCTGATGTATGCTGATCCGTGAATGATGGAGAAACAAAACCAAGTTCGAGACTGTAACACAAAAATCGGTGTTGGACGTATCGGTGTTAATCAAGGTCATCTTGCATTTTCCAAACCATACTCTATATTCCTGTCTTTTTTCCCTGGATCCAACATGCAAATTTGTGCTCCAATCATAATGTCCCCACACGAGAATGAGGTGTGTCTATATACCTTGATCCAAAAGGACATGTCTCGCTCCATGACTATGCAAAGACACGACTAGTCTAATCGAGGAAAGTAAACAGATTTGTGTGCAGAATGTTCATGGCGCGGGTGGCGTCCCGGGCCTCAATGACGCAAGAGATATTGATCTCGCTGGCACCTAGATCTAAAGTCAATAACAACATCGTGAGACCTGTCTCGGGATAGGTTTACCTTGTGAAATCATCTCCAAGTTGACATTGTGCTCTCCTAGTGTAGAGAACATGCGTCCGGCGATACCGATCATGTTCTTCATTTCCGCACCGACCAGACTCAGGATAGCCATGTCGTGAAGAACGCTGACATCGCCGCAGTCTTCCAGCTCCTTCCGCGCCCTGTCGAAGCTGCCGCCCTCTGAGTTTCCGGCGTGAATAGCCATGGAAACATGCACCTCACTGGTGGAGATGAGATCAACCGATATCTGGTTCTTGTCCAGGATGGAGAAGACCCTCGCGAAGAAGCCATGGGAGATGGAGCGCTTGTTTGAATGAACGTTGATGACGGAGATCTTGTCCTTGATGGTAACGGCTGTTGGCCTCTTGGGCTTCTGGATGAGAGAAGGATCTGAGGGCTTGGAACGCTGGATCTGGTGGCCAGCCGTGAGAATGGGGTCGGGAATGACAATGGTTCCAACTCCTCTCGGGTTCTTGACATTCTTGATGCGGATGGGAATAGGAGGCGACGCGTGGATGACCTGGTCCATGGTGAGGTGGTGGATGACTTCGGAGCCGTAGAATGTCAACTCCGCCGCCTCGGACGGGGTGATGGAATGCAGCAACCTCGCCGTGGGAACTTTGGTGGGGTCCGCAGTGAAGATTCCGTCAACTTCCTTCCACACCTGCAGCTCATCCGCCTTGAGGCCGACTGCGCATAGGGCTGCGCAGAGGTCGGTGTAGCCACGGCCAATGTCGCCGTCAATCAGGCTGCCCGGGACATTGCCAAAGAACCCGGTAACGACCGGCACTCTGTCTTCACATGCCGAGATCTTTTTCCGCAGCACGGTGGCCGCCTCTTGGTAGAAGCTCTGATCCAGGCGAGAGGAGGCATCATAGTGGAACGCATCGCTGAGATCCACATATTCTGCAGCGACACCCTGTGAGAGAATTAGCCTCACTCTCATGACGCAGAAATGGGCAGTTTCCTCACCAGATCTTTCAGTAACGCGGCCATAAATCTACAGCTGAGCTTCTCGCCGAAGCTGATGCATCTGTCTTTCGATCTCGCGTTCACTTCGAGGTTAAATCTCCTTGCGGCCACGATGTATTCAACCAGTTCTTGGCACTCATCCCGGATCTCTTGGTCCAGTGATGCCTGCAGTTCTGGGTTCTTGATGAAGGTCTTGACGGCAGAAACATGGTCATTAGTGATGTCGTCAATTAGGCCTCTGGCCTGGCTCATGAGGTCATTCTGAACCTCCTCGGTATTCGTGGCAGCCGCGATGCCTTTGAGCTTGTTGTACACGCCCAGGAGTCTTTCAAAATCAGTAAACAAGTCAGGATCGGCTGGCACGCTGAGTGACTCACCGGCTGGTGGTGCCCTCAACCTTCTTGCCCGTGCTTCTTGCCGAGCAGACGACAACAACCTTGTTCTTAGCGAGGCTCGTTCTGCATCAAAGTCAGTAGGAGCCTTCATTTCATATGCGGATGTTCCGTCTTACCGGACAATATCCGTGGCGATCTATAGGGACACACATCAAGTCAGCTTTTGCAGCAATAGGAATGATTCAGACTGAGAAATACCTTGTCGGGAAACTTTCCCACGCTGGTGCCACCAAACTTTTGCACCACCCAGCCGTTGCTGGAGGTGTTTGCTATGGGTTGGCTACTCATGATGCCTCAATTGCAATGTGCAGGCGCAAAAGTGGCTGGTGTTTGAGTGAGTATGACTCTACTCACAGGGTCGCGGGGGAGGGGCGCTGTGGTCCGTAGAGTGCGGGAAAAAACAGATCAGAAAAAATGAATGGCGACGGTTGGACTGGGTCGTCAACCCTCGAGCAAGTATCTTCGGTAAGATTTGCGTGTGAGGCAGCGGAAATGTTACAGCTAGTATGGATAAGTAGGTGAGAGAAAAAGTTGAGGGTGTCAACGGTGGTGGGATAAACGGCTTCAAGAAGTGTTGCGGTGGATTGAATTGAATTGGACTAGATCCAAGGTGACTGAGATGGGACGAAAGTGGGATGTGGAGCACAGCGACGAAATCGGCGACGCCTGTCCAAGTCGCAGCTACCAGATTTTGCGCTTCCGGAACATCGGAGGCGGGCCCGAATCTTCAATACCGACCCAGTGCCGCGCTGCCTGCTGCTCAAAGCTTGCCCAACAGATATAGAGGGCCTTGCTCTGAAGGACGGCTCACTTTTGTCACCCTCCCCGAGGACTACGCAAGCCTGTATTGCATTTCCTCCTGCTACCTTAGTCGAGTAGCCCTTGATGCCGTGGCTCCAACCGCTGCAAATACACCCCGCAAGCCGTCTACAGCTATTCCTCATGCAAGAACAAGACCGAGGGATCTGAATTGGGCAGTCTATCCGTGGCAGCCTCTATCCGTGACAATTTCTTTGTCTGAGTCATACGCATAAGCTTACTGACTCCTTTGTTGCTGCAATTTCCAGCCCAGCCTCTGCAAAAAGGCATGTCCAGCCCCTTCTGCCGTTTGGCAGACGTGTTCAAAATGCACCTTGAATTCTCTACTTTTCTCCTGTCCAACAGCCCCCACGGGGCAGAACGAATGTCCGGTACCTTTTGATCTTTGAGCCTCCTCGCTGTCTCTGGCCGCCACTCCACCTGCAGGCTATGGTGAACACTGAAGAGCCACCTAACCTATGAAACCGCTCGCAAAGAAAACTTTTAGTTGCGTAATCCCGGCAGCGCGCGGGGGTAGCGAATCAGGGACAACCCAATGACGGATGAGGCACACTACACAGTGACAGCCGGGGGTCCCTCGCCCCGTTCAATAACCGCCTTTGACGCTGCTGCAACGCAACGCTGGAAATCGATGTTGACCAACTTCCTCTGGCAAGGCTCAAGACTGGAACACACCAGCCTGGCCATATGTGCACCCATGAATACCCTCAGTTGAAGATCAGTGCTGGGATTTTGACCCTGGTATCCCCGTAGAGTTTAGCATCTTCTTATTGATAGGTCTCTCTGCTTATGATTGCATTAGGCCATACGGTTGCGATCATTATGCTAGATTCTCACCTACGCTGGACGCGCAAACTCCGAACAAGACTCGGTAACGTAAATCGTGAAAGAGAATGCTTGTACCTCTTCTTCAATGCTCTCCCTACCGGGTTGTATTACCACTAGATAGACGTATAATCAAATGCCCATGCCCCGGACCAGAAACGAATTGGTATAGCAACCCGCGAGCACCAAATGCAAATGCCATCGCCGTCCTCATCGCCTTAAAAGGGACTTCAAAACACCCAAAGCAGAATCCAGAACCCAAAACCCCGGTCTAGTAGAACAGGCGCAGAACTCATAAACGACTCCGTACCAAATGGCAAGAGCTTTTCCTACGCTCATACAATCGTCCAGTCGTGCCATCGTCATCACACTGCACTCGACAGTCCTCCTCCGGCATCAAGCCCCGTCGAGAGGCCGCCTGGCAGATGACTATCGATACATGACACCTGGTTTACCAGGTGCGACTATATTCCAACTCTCCTTCGTTATTGCTGCAGCTCAGCGTTTGCAAGCAGTGCTTGGTTGACCTCCGAGTGCGAGAAAGTGTACTTGTCCATGGGAAAGTCCTCCTCCGGTGTGCGGATGCCGATTCCGCTATCGTCAGGGTTGCTGCCGCCCGTCATCCCAGCTGAGTCGACTTGTCCCTGGCTGTTTGATGGAGGAAATGGCGCCTTGTCCGGCTGCGCTTGAGGAAGGTTGGAGAAGTTGAACTCTTCGCTCCCCGTGCTGTAACGGGATCCTTGCCTGCTCGTCTCTTGTCCTGTCACTTGGGGGTTGGCGGCAATCGCTGATGCGCCCGAAGTTTTCATGTTGAGGAAACCACCCTGCTCAGCAAGGAAGCAAGTCATCTCATCGATCCAGCACTTTGTCACCCACCAAGAGCCGAAGCTCTTGCCCTGAGCCATTGTGAGATCCCGCATCACTGCTGTACCGACTCTCTGCACGCAGTAGACAATCTCCGTATGTGACGCGTAGGGGAACCGTGTCGGCAGCGACTTGAGGAAGCCGACCCAGCGCTCCAAGACGTTTTGGCCGTTCGCGTCCGCAGTGCCCTCAGCTCCAGGCTGGCGACCGTTCCTCAAAGCAATGTCGCCGTAAACCGTCAAACATTCC